CCCAGGCATTAGATGGAGAAACAGGTGCTTGAGTGAGTTGGTCTCAGAATATTCTCTACCGTGTGCAACAGGTTTCACTGATGCCTGTTTCTGGACAAAGCATTTCTCCCTTCTCTTTATCCGGTACCATTTCTATTTTCCCTGTCTTTTCACCACCTTGCCTTTTTCATGGAAGGTGTATGGTGGAAATAGCACAGCTGGACTCTGCATGCAAGCTATGTTTTCCTCTAGGACCTCTCAGGGGTAAATTACTGTACAGTTGGACAGCTCACTGAGCAAATATGTAATAATGAATGAAGCACCAAACCTTTCTAGAATAAAATTCCTCAGCTGAGTACACTCAGGAGTGTGCTAGATTAGGTCCAGGTTAAAATCTCAGCCTCCTAGTGTCCAAATCTACTTACTTACTTACTTACTCATTTATTAAAACATTTCTATGCTGCCCCATTCGCCGAAGCCTCGGGGCGGCTCACAACGTAAGATAAAGTACAAAAATAACAATATAAAAATAACAATATAAAATAAATAGCAATATAAAAGAAGTCGCCCTGGCCAGATAAAAGCAAATACTGTTAACAATTAAAATGACGCTTAAATAAAAAGGTCTTGGCCTGGCGCCGAAAAACAAATAACGACGGCGCCAGGCGGACCTCTCTGGGGAGCGCATTCCATAGATTGGGCACCACCGCAGAGAAAGCCCTCCTCCGAGTACCTACCCTCCTAATTTCTTTCACAGAGGGTTCCCGGAGAAGGGCCTCTCCCACAGATCTCAAGGGGCGGCCGGGCATATATGGATGTAAGCGCTCCTTCAGGTAACCAGGACCCAAGCCGTTTAGGGCTTTATAGGTCATCACCAAATCTAGCGCTTGAACATCTCACCAGGAGGCTATGCCCTTTCCCCTAACCAGTTGCTTCTGTGCAGTTTCTTCCCCCTCATTCTAAAAGGCTGAAAAGCTTCTCCTAAAGCTTAGGTTGTGGCACATTCTTTTTGCCACTGACTGTGTTCCAGATGCTGGAGTGACCCCTAGTAGTTACTCAGGAAAACTGCTTGATGCTGAACACACCACATGTTTTTAAAAGGATGGAAGAGACCTGTCCTTCAAGATTTTGCCAAATAAAAAAGCCAAAGCATGGATATGCATGTCTTCTAAAGTCAAAAACTCCCTATAAAGTTTCTCTTCCTAATTTCAGGGTAACGCAACCTGACATCTAGAATTCCTGTCCATTGAAACCTGCATCCCGCAACCCTTAGTCAATAATAAATCCAATAGAAAGAGACCTCATCTTACAAGTCTATGTTGTACAAACAGATAGGAAGCCATCTGAAGAACACAAACTGCTTCCCTGGCTTCCTTCCTGGAATGGCCAAGGCAGGGGCGGGCATGCCATTCTGCCTGGCTTGGTGGGCAGTATTTGGCCTGGGGATCACTTGTACAGGTCTGCGGTAATGAGAAAAAAGAAACTGAAGGAGATAAATTAAAGGGCCGGAAGCTGGCAGTTGGAAATAGATGGGATTGTGAAGACAAGTAGAAAGCTGAGGGGAGATTAATTTCCTGGCAAGATGGTTAACAGTGAGTAGTAAAGGGAGGAGTAAAAAAGGCATAGGAGTAATGGAAAAGGAGAACAAAAGGAGGAGCAGTTCAAGAGATGCCACTGGACAGATAAGAAATTAAAGGGAAGCCAAGCAAAAACTGTGTCTTTTTATTTTAAAGGCATTAACTTCCACAACTTTGGCTTTTCAATAAGTCTAGGAAGTGTAATAAAAACATAGAAACATTAACATTTCAAAAATGTACCAATACATGCAAACATCACCTGCTTCTTTATTAATATTTTGAATTTTGCAAGTGGAAAAATGTACATGTTATAGCAAGACTTAGGCCATGATCTGGATTCTAGAGCAGCAGAAACAGCACAGGAAGGGAAAGGGAACAACTCTTTCCCACTCACCCACCCCCTCTTCTTCATCATCTTCTTTGTTGCTTTCTTTGTCATCATCGTCGTCTTCTTCATCCCCCCTCCCCCTCCCCTCTTCACCTTGGGATGGGAGGACCATTGCTTTTCCAACTCACAAATTCTATGAAAATTTCTTCAAAGTTCATTTCAACTCACATCCACTTTCATTTTCAATCTCTTTCTCAGTTTGTTCAGAAGGGAAAGTTGCATATTCTTGTGCACATTTTTCAAAAGTATTCATTTTCCTCCAATTCCTAAATTATGAAAACGCAGATACTTCCAAAAATACAATGTTCAAAAACTGACATTTCACATATTTTGGAATTTGCTCATTTTCTCCAAAAACTGTTGCTGCTTGTGTTTGCATATGGAATTGTGACAACAGGACATTGCAAACGGAAACAGAATTTAGTTCATCCCTATGTCCAACAATAAATAGATAAAATAGAAAATGTTCTCCTGTTGGAAGCTAGGATTGTTTGTTTCTCTAACTGATGACAATGAAAACTGAGACTGCAGCAACCTCAGTGCAGAAATCACCTTCAGGTGTGGTCATATGGCTCAAATGAGTTAGAGGGCCAGATTCCTCACCTAAGAGATGTCCCTCAGTTATAGCTATAAATCTTCTCCCCCAAAATATCAATTACACCTCAGTTTGATGTAGATCAGTTTCCCAAGCATCTACCCCTGTCCTCCATTGTTTTGTTGCCTAGAATATAACCCAGGCAGCAACTGCAAAGGCAAGGAAAAGGCAGCACTGAAAGAGAATGCGAAATCATAAAACCACTCTCTGCGATTTGCTTGTTTCACCTCCACTGTGTGCAGATGATTGACTGGCTGCAGGATTGCCTCATGTGGTAACTGAAAAGGCCACATGGGGCATTTCAGGAGTGGCTCTGCGAGCAAGTATGCTAACCCTTGTGCTTGCACATTTGGAAAAGGACAGCATTGAGGCGTGCAGTGAAGGAGGATCCAGGAACAACTTAAATGTTTGTGGCATACTTTCTGACCTAGCAAAAGCATGTCAGGTGTCATATTTTCCTCAGGTACAGCGTAAAACCAGGTAGGATATTCTGGCCTGTTTCTGGGTTAGTCATGTCAGGAACATACAGAAGCATCCTCACAGCATAAGGAAAAGATGTGTAACTAACATTAGATATAGTGTTTTTTACTCAGTAAAGTCCAAAGTCTGTTAATTGATTTGGCAGAAGAAACCTCAAGCTGCAAGCTGTGTTGTCTGCAAATGGGCACACGCTGACCTCCTCTACCTTCCCCTGCCAGATGCCAGAGCTGAGTTACTTCGGCTTGAAGCCAGGAAGTATACAAGCTAGTGAGTACATGGACACTCACAAAAATTTCAGCTTTTGTACATTTACCACAGACTCAAAGCCCTTTGAGGCTGAGCGATGCCGTGCTCAGGGTCCTCAGTGCCTTCTTCAGTGATCTCATTCCAGAGGGACCTATGCACAAACATATGCTGTGCAGCTGAATGCAGTGCTATGTAATCTGATGTGGATATACCTTCACATCTCGATCAGAGCCACACTCAGTCACCACTGAAGCAGAGGTGGACAAACACCAACTTGCCCTTCCATCTGCAAGGGTTAATTTGGTTTCTTGACATGCATTGGCAATTCAAAACAAATTTATACATTACATTCATGGCTTGCCCTCTTTTGTAGCAGTCATTCGATACTGGTTTGTGCAGGTAGAACAACTGTTCCAAATCTGTAAAGCTCCAAAAAAAAAGTGTCCAACCAAATCACTGGACTGGGAGCACCTTCTCTCACAGGGTTCTCTTTTATTATTTATCACAATATAGTGCTGTATGAAGTATAAATTGGATGTGGGGTTGTCATCTTTTCAGAAAATGAAAGCTACAAGGCTTCTAGCTATGTAAAGTATACATGAGGAAACAGGTGAATATAGGCAAACCTTATATACAAGTAGTCTAACATGCTGAAAGTAAAGCAACTTATGATATAATTATACAGATCAAAAATTAGTCCTGCTGAGTTAAATAGGACTTACTCCCAGGTAAGTGGGTAGAGGATCGTTCTGTTAATATATTCATTTCATGTAGACTAAATAACAATATAAACAAAAATCAAATGTATGAATGCTTGTCAGTCATCGCCAGTACCTTTGCATTCAGCCAGCTACAATACAGGTAGATGGAAACAGATTTTGCCTTACAGAAGAACTAGGTGTAATACTACCTGTATGCTTTTTAAAAATATATATCCATGAGTAAATGTGGTTAGAATGTCTTTAAAATCAATCAGGAGATGCATGCAAAGGCTGAACATTTGGGCAACTGTCCTTTACAAGGAAAACTGACTGCCTTGTGATCCAGGGCCACAGCCTTGGGTTCTATCCAATGGTAGTGTAACTCAAGTTTCAACCACTTCAGTGGGTTTACTTAAAGTTTACTTGCTAAATTTAATTACTAAATTGATGCAACTCCTTTTTCCTTTTTAATTCTTAAATAAAAGAACATTTTCTATTTGTATAACACTAGTATGTCCAGATGGTTTAGAAAGACAATATATGGTTAGGGAACTTGTCTAAAGGCCAAATTAGTAGCATTTAGAAAGGAAAATGTAGTATACCATTTGGGTCCCACAAAAATCTGAGAATTTTAAGAGGTCTGCGAGTTTCCATATCTGATATCCAGACAGAATGACAATTCTAGACAGAACATACTGTGTATTCTTCTGCGGAGAATATTTCAAAGGAAGCAAATCATTTCCTCATACACAGAGAAACTCTGGTAATGACAAACAGCATAACTAGTTATGCTAACATTTATTAGCATTTGTAGTTTGACATGATTTGCATCATATAAACCTATGAAGGAAAATGTATTTTTAGAGGATGCAACAGCAGTTATTCTATTCAAGGCACTTACAAATGTGTACTCTTTTGCAAGTATTGGTAATTGGTGACAATTTTGCTATTACCTGTTTAGAATAGTGCATTTTCAGGTAATTTTGTAAGACTGAAAAAAATGGTTGGAAGCGCAAAGTTATAGAAGCACTTACATTTGCACTGTGATCACTTCCACTAACACAGATGACATCTTGTTTTTGAATTGTCAGTACCTCTTTTGTAAGCTTCAGTCGGATTTCATAGGAGTTTTCAGATATTTCATCATATAACAATGCAATTCCAGTTTTTGTCTGTAGAAGCAAGAACATTAAAAAGATCAAATACATCAGATACATAAGCCTTTAAAATGTGATAAAATTAATTTACAATTTATGTCTTCCGTGTCCACAATAGTTTTATTCATTTGTTTGTATACAATGGTATGGTTTGAAATAGTAACAGATCAGAAAAAGCCAAGTAGTGTTCCATATCAATCTTCATTGGTTGCCTAATCCTATCACCTGATTTAGCTCTTGCACACAAGCAGATTCTTGCTATGCAACATCATGTCCAAAGCAATTTTTGCAGAGCTGTACATTTCTTCCAGCCCAGAGACAGAACAGTGCTGATGCAGTATTGTGCCCAAGTTAGAACACTGCAGGGGGTTAGGTAGTGAGACAAGATAATGCAAATACCTGGGTCTCCCACTTAAATATAGCATGCCTGTACTTCCGTGAAGAAGAGGCGCTGTTGTGTCCAGAGATATTGGCATCTTACTGGACAGTGACCAAGGATAATACTGTGCCACGTTTAACCAGCCCCAGAAACACACCATTGCTCTGTGCTCTACTGGCATCTTTGCAAGCTTGTATACAATCAGCTTGGTATTTAAATAAATTCAAAACACAGTTTGAACCCAATATTCAAAATGTACACATTAAAGCTGAGACATAAGTATTTATCTCAAATTGTTCCAATTGTTTAAATCAGGCAGAAATAGATAATACTTTAACCTTATAAATGAATTAATTTACACAGGATTGTTCCCTCCTTTTTGATAGAAACATCACCTTTTAAAACTTTATTTTAATGAGACAGATATAATTAAACCAAAGGTGGCTGACAAAGTACTCATTGTTTTCTGTCACTACATCAAACATAAGTAAACGTAGCTAAGAGACAACATACAGAAGCTGCAGCAAACAAACCATAGTCAAGACCATCAAATGGAGGAAGAGAAAAAGTGGCACTTGACCAATATAAAAGGCAAGCACTTTAGTTCACAAGAAGAGAACAGGGAGACACACTCCCATACATTTAGGTCACTTTGCACAACATTTCATAGTTTCAGAAGGAACCATTTTTCTACTCAAACACTATCAGTTCTCTGCAAAAATGTACCTCTCTGGTTTAAAATGGAAGACAACAGTTCAGTGGTACAGCCCATCCTTCTCTCTTAAAATACGCACTGTGAATAATAAGAAAAATACTACTTCATGCTATCTCAGAAATAGGCAGAAAGCACTAAGTTTACTACTTATCTAGCTACAAAATGTGGCACGGGACAAACAATGAGAATAGTTATGAAGATCAATACCCACGTACACTCAGAACAGAAAGATCTACAGTCACTAACAGTATAATCAATCGTCAAGGATGTATATATATTCACTCAGTGAATATTTTTGCTTTTGCTTGAAAAGATGCCAAACACATTGCAAATGAATACCAAAAAGAGCGAGTAACATAAGTATTTTTCAAGTGAATAAAAAAGTTAAAAAGTCTGCCAACAAGTGAAGACCAACTGCAGAATTCAGCTGCACTCAGAAAACAAAATCTGACATCCCTACATACATTGCATATGTGTCAAAGATTGTACTTTTTAGGTGAAATCTGAAAAGGCCCTGCTCTCAAATGATTTTAGAATGGATAGGACCAAGAAGCGATTGACAAGTCAAACCAATAAAAAGCTGGAATTTCATTTTGGAATGAAGCTGCATCAAAGTCAACAGCAGTTATTGCAAAGGAGTAAGATTTCATTTGCATAATACTACCAACCTATTTTTACCCTGCATGGAGTGAGAGATGCCTGATGCTCAAGGAAGATTCCAAAAAGCAGGAGGCACTCAAGAACCTGTCATAAATACAGGGCTTTTTTTGTCATAGAACGCACCGGAACAGTGTTCCGGCACCTTTTTTTCCAATGGATTTTACGAAGTGATTTTGAATGGAGTAGCAGATCAGCAGCACGCATCATTAACATAGTGCCTGCAGGCTGCAATTGTGCCTGCTATCTGATAGTGAGAGGTAGCTGCTTGGGATGCTGCCCCGCTGCTCGGCTTGGGATTGATGTGTGTGCTTACTGCCGGCTGGGCTGGGATGTGAGTTCCGGCACCTTTTTTTTTACAAAAAATGCACTGCATAAATATATGTTGGCTACTGAAGCACCACGGTAAAAGATCAATCTATGCTTTCCAGACTACAGCAAAGCCTTTGACTGTGTGAATTACAAAAGATCATGGATGGTTTTGAAAGAAATGGGTGTGCCTCAGCACTTCATTATCTTTATGTGTAACCTGTATCGTGGACAAGAAGTTACTGTTAGGGCAGAATATGAAGAAACAGAATGGTTTCTTATAGGCAAAGGTGTCAAAAAGGGTAAATTTTATTTATCTGTCAACTTGTTCCTAGAATATAGCATAAGGAAAGTTGGATTAGGATCAAAGGAAGGAGTGAAAATTGGCAGCAGATCCCTCAATAATTTAAGATATGTATATGATACCACTGCTGCAGAAGGCAGCAATGAATTGAAATGATGGCTGGGAAAAGTAAAAGAAGAAATGCAAAATCAAGACTGCAGCTGAATATTAACAAAACAAAACTTAGAATGACAAAAGAGTTATGCACCTTTAATGTCGACAGTAAGAAACTGAAATTGTGAGAGATTTTGCATACCTTGGCTCAGTCATCAATTCAAATGGAGACTGCAGCCAAGAAATTCAAAGAAGACTGGGACTTGGGAAACCTTCAATAAAGGACCTAGAAAAGATCATCCAGTGTAATCTGGACAGAGCAGAAAGCTGACAGAGAAAAAGTAGATGCAATTAAAACATAGTGCTAGAGGAGAGCTTTGTGAAACCCCTGGAGCGACAGAAAGGAACAAGTAGGTTGCAGTTCAAATCTAGGCAGGAATTTCCTGGAAGCAAAGATGACAAAACTGAAGTTGTATTTTGGGCCCATCATGAGAAGGCAAGAATCACTGGAGAAGACAGTAACACTAGGGAACATTGAAGGCAGAAGGGGAAAAAAGGAAGACTAACTATGAGATGGAGAGATTCCATAAAGGAAGCCGTAGTCTTGCGTTTATAAGAGCAGAGCAGGGCTGTCAAGGACAGAATGTTTTGGAAAGCTTTCACTAACACGATTACCAGGAGAAACAACTTGACTGCACTTAACAATCACCAATCTATTGCAATTCACTCTGGAATTTGTAACTGAAAAGTGCATGAGCAACTGAATAAATACAACATCCTAATTTTTCAGCATTGTTCTTGTTCCAAGCCATCAGGTTGAAAGAGGCTGTAGGAAGACTGTTAAGCTATAACTTTCCTTACAAAGATATTTTTTCCAGTAAATTAGTGACACCATTTAAAAGAAAAATAATTAATGTATTATTTTAACTTGACTAAGGAGATATATTCTGATAACACATCTCATACATGTTTAACAAAGCAGTTCAATACGATCAGTAGATTTTAAATTACCATGCATTAATATCCATTTATACTCATTAGAAAAATACTTAACTAGCAAAGATCATGCAACACAAGTAAAATCAGCCATCTTTAGAAATTGAAGTGTATTTTTGTATTCTTTTCAAAATGAGAATGAAAAGCATCCTGCTAGCAAAATGAACAGTATAAGCCTATGCATGTCTATTCAGACTAAGTTCTACTAAGTAATGAGACTGACTTCCAAGAAAAGCTAAATAGAATTGTGGCCTCAAAAATTCTTCATATTCCGTTTTCATATTCTAACTTGAAATTGGACAAACAACAAAGTTCTGTTCAAATGAGAAAAGTATCCAGTCTTTGATAATTTTCTCACGGAGCTCAGAATCTTCTTTTCAGTCCTGAGGGATATCCAGTTACATAGATTGTAGAATGTGTGATAACAGAAGTATGAAAGCATTTTAATTGCAGACAATGAAATATATCTAACCTGAGGGAATGTTCAGAAAGTCTAGTGTTTTGAGCAGAGGGGCAGTTTGAGAGCACCTGGCTAATTTCCCCCAAGTCCCTCCAATATAGGAAAGTAAATTGAATGTACACAGCTTGCAATAAAACATAACACTTCCTCTTAAACACTATTAAAAGAACTTTAATTTGGACCATTTAGATTTACTCATAAAAACTACTCCCTTGGTTTTAGTGAGTACTTGCATTACTCTTGAGTTAGATTTATACAATGAGTCTGAACCGAATGTGAGCAATGAGATAGATTTATGCCCCCTTATAAAACAATCCAGATTTATATAGCGATACCGATGGTTGGTTGGAATCCATCTCCCTCTAAACTTAATGGAAAAACTAATGCAGCCACTGCTATGTAACAGAGTAAAAACACACACACAAATATCAGATGCAATTGTTATCATAAAATATATTGGGCAGAATTGTATGCTTAAGACTTTTAAAATCCTTAATCTTGATAGCTATGTATTTTCCACAAATAATTCACCAGCATATAATCATACAGTGAAAGATTCCACAACCAAACCACGGATTTTAACAACTAAAACAATTAAATACCAAAACAAAACAAAAAACAAAAACACCCCACCCATAAAAACCTGTTTAAAAACTAGTCTAAATGTTGGGCCTTACATATCATAACGCTGAAATTAAATAATGTTTCTAAAGAGTGCAGTGCTTCTTTCCACTTGCCAAATAATTTTTTTTAAAAAACCAGTAGCTCTGTAGTTTTTTTTTCTCAACACAAAGCTAAGGGTGCATATTCTCAGCCCCTTCCGCTATACATAGAATGTGCCTCATTTATACAGAAAGACGCTCAACAAAAAGTCTTGTTAAAAATAGCCCTGGGTTATAATATAGGCATTTTCTGCTAATGTCATTAGCCTTGGAACAGGAGTGATTAACAGCTGGTTCTCAATCTGTGTGATCTTAATCATGAGAAAGTAAGCAGTAATGGCTTGTTTAATTACTGTAAACACAGTGTGTCACCAGCTAATTAGATATGATTGATTATTGTCAACCTCATTCTCTGCTCAAGGCATCAGACACAAACATTT